GCTGCCGAGAACTCGGACGAGACGGGCTCGGAGGGGGAGGGGGAGTCGGAGCAGGACAGCGACGGCTCCCAGGGGGAGCAGGCCGGGCGCCGGCGGAAGTGCGCTTATGAGCAGACGCTGGGGGAGGAAGAGGAGGAGAAGGTGGACTAGCCGCCCCACCCCCATGCCTGCATCCTTCACTAACTCACTGCAGCTTCCCTCCCATGTCGCTCACTGAGTCTGGTGCTGGATTGTCCCCCCGCTGCCCTGTGCCAGCCTGGTCTGGCGGCGTCCCCTGCCCTCTCGCAGGCCTGGAGGCAGAGCGGGTACCCACATGCCAAGGCGACCTGCTGACTATTCCAGAGGCACTGGGGTTCTGCCACGACTCCCAGGCCGTGTCCCAGGGCCGGCTGGCAATGCAGCTGTTTAGCATCAGGCCCTCTGGCCTGCCCCCCGGCATGCCTCCTGCACTACTGGGGTCTCCTTTGTGCTGCTGGAGCTGGTCAGGAAACAGGCCTGCTCTCCAGGGGTAGGCACTGGCTTGTCAGCCCCGGCCTGTGCGTGGTGCTGTCCCTGGGGGGCCCGGCCCAGCCCTGGGAAGTGGGCAGCGGGGATGTTCCCATCTGCCAAGAGCAGCCGGCGCTTTTCCCGGCACAGCCAGGGCCCACAGACAGGGACAAGGCCTGGCCCGCATGGCTCTCCTGGCAAAGCGAGAGTGTGGACCGGAGAGCCCTCTGCCAGCCCTCCCTTCCACGAGGGCCTCACCCTGCACTGCAGTGTAGCACCCCTCGGGCAGGTACCCTGTGAGCGGGGAAGCCCACGAGGCCAGGCCAGTCGGGGTGCTGGGGCTGCAGTGTCCTGCCCCACAGCACGGTGGCTGCGAGTTCCTGCTGCAAGCAAGAAGCAAAGCAGGCTGAGGCTTCAGGCCCTTCCCCTGCCCGCACTGTGTGGATCTGGGCTGTGGGGAATGCGGCTTGGGTCCTGTGGGGGCAGGGCACCCACAGGCCAGATGCCCTGGCACCCTGGCCCAGACCAGCAGGTGCACGTTGGGGCCCACAGCTACCTCGCCAGGCTGGCTCCCTGGCCTCTCCTGAGGAGCCCCGAGGGCAAGGGGGACCGTGTGAGTGATGGGGAAGGTTCCGTGGTGGCTGTTGGACCGATGTTGGGGGGGACGACAACAGTTGGGGTGATACGGAAGGTTCTATGGCGGCTGTTGGAGCGATGTGGAGGGGGGAAC